AAGAAAAGAGACAAGAATAGTCTTGTCATAAAAAGGCAAGAATCAAATTGCTCAGAAGTCCTATTTAAACATTTAATTGTGCTGACTATAAAAATGATACACTTTTACATATAAATATTAGGAAAAAAACTACAGGACTTTTCTGGGTCATCCATACTCATTTGGTATGACCAATCAAAAATTTGGTCAATTAATCTCTAAAAGTTTCATAATTAAGTGTCAACATTTTTAGAAGTATGCTTTATCGAGCTAACAAAACTCATTTCTAATTTGTTAATATACATAGTGAATTTTATAGAAAGCCCTTTCTAGATCCATGAGGATCATAAAGTGCTTCTTAAACATGATTATGTGGTATCTTATACTAACAGATTTCCTGTAGTTGTCATCCTTGAATGTCAACAATAAACATTACCTAGTCATTTTTGTGTGTGTGTGTGTCTGTGAGACGGAGTTTCGCTCTTGTCGCCCAGGCTGCAGTGCATTGGCTCAATCTAGGCTCACTGCAACCTGTGCCTCCTGGGTTCAAGCAATTCTCCTGCCTCAGCCTCCCGAGTAGCTGGGATTACAGGCGCACACGACCACATCCAGCTAGTTTTTGTATTTTCAGTAGAGACGGGGTTTTGCCAAGGCCAGGCTAGTATTAAACTCCTGACCTCAGGTGATCTGCCTGCCTCGGCCTCCCAAAGTGCTGGGATTACAGGCGTGAGTCACTGTGCCTAGTTATGTTTTTGTGGTTTTGTTTTTAATAAACCACTGAATTCTAGTTTCTGATACTTTATGACTTTTGCATCTATGTTTATAAGAGAGTGGTATAAACTTGTCTTCTGCTATCCTTGTTTAATTGTGGTATAAAAAGTGTTCTTTATTAGAGTTAAAGAAACTAAAGGTTAGGACTGGGTTTTTTTCTAATTCATATTAAAAACAATACAGATTCCAATGGACTGGTGGAAACAAAGAAAAAATGATACTGAAATGAACATCAGAAATCTGACAATATTCTGGTTATTTCCTTAGGATGAAAGATCAAAAATATGATTACATGGTCAGAGTACCACCTTAGGAAAGTCCTTTTAATTTATGCTTATGGAAATAAATTTTGCATTCCTATACATTTATGAATAATCAGTATTATAATAGCCATTTTAGACCCCATAGTCCTTACTTTTAACTTTACAGAACTCCACCCCTTACTTATAACTTTACAGAATGTTTAACACTTCAAAGTCCCTTACTTTTAACTTTACAGAACTCCATCCCTACTGCAATTTCAATTTTGCTTTATTGTGGATAATAATATATTGACAGCTTTTTCCTTATGTCTGATTCAACTGCCATTCTGACTTCATGACCAAGTGGTCTCCCATTCCTCGAACTCAAAAATGCTTGAGATGAAAAAGCTTCCTGAAATTTTTTATTATTTAGCTCACTGCAGCTTTTATTGAGGTTAAGCTCTACCTATAAATTACTCTGTGTCACCATAGAAAATGGTGGGAAGGAAGCAACAGTGACATATCTATAACTACAGCTTCTAAACTGCCAGAGGCAACAAGAGTAATGAGATGAAGGGAGTGGGAGGTACACAAAGCCAGGACTATGTTTCTGTCCTAACTTTAACCCCACTCTAATATTAAGGGGCTGAGAGTAGAGAGGAGGAACTGTTCAGTAAACATTTCAACAGAAAACATTTGCCATTTCTTAAAATTAAGCAATTTGTTTCCTGTTCTTCATTAGTTGAACTGAGTTGTATTTTTTGGCTTATAAAACTATAAAGGCACTTTATTAACATTTTATTTGAAATTCTGAGTAAACGTGCTTACAAATCCATTGTGTATCACATTTTGAATAATTCTGTTTAAGCTAAGGTTTAGATTTATCCATAACAGACCTTTTTCCATGCCGCTTCCCATCTTTTACACTCTACATATAAATGAGCTCCCTGAATTCCAACTAAATTTCTTACATTTAAGAATATTTAGCTGTTAAGAAATGACTAATAATGTGACACAATTTAATTGTTCTACTACTAAAAATAAGCTTTATAAAATATATGGCACCAAGCTACAGTGTATAAAAAGTTAAAATTTTTTTGATAGACCATGATCAATAACAAATCTCCATTTTTGCAACATCTAAAAAAACCACCAAATTAGGCAAATTTCTATGCTTCAAGGAAACTTTAATAGTGAAAAACAAGATAATGGAGAACTATCACTTCAACTTCATTAATCAGGTGAAAGGGCAGAAAAAAATGTTTTTAATGATGAAGCAGCTCTAGAATATGAGCTCTCAGAGATCTCTATCTCCATAAGAGGCTGTAAAAAGAATGGGAAATAAGGAAAAGAGCTATGACTAAGGTTACCTCCTCCACAGGTTAAATACCAGCAATGGCCAATTTTAGTACTGTTGTACCTCCCTAAAAGATTAGACTCTCTCAGGCTCTGCTCTGTGGATAACCTCACTGCAATGGCAACTTGAGCCTTATTGAAGTTGTGCAAAAACATGGCTCTATCTCTGCCTGTATCACACAGCTCCCTTCGATCAAGTGATACCAGTCTCCTGGCCTCCATTCTTGACAGCCTCATAAGGAGTTTTCTCACTGCAACCTACGGTGCACTTCAAATTAATCTGACTTCTGAGCCTTCAGACCCTAAGGCACTTAATGGCCCCAATCTCACCAGTCACCCTCAGGTTAAGTGTGAACTCTGGCACAGCATGCAGTGACACCTTACTACCTACACACACTCTGGCCATTTGCTATCCCTTACTTTAAACTCTAAGGACACCCAACTTGTTTGGAACACTTCACCAATCCTCCCCAACCTGCCAATCTCCACACCACCACACCACATGTGATGAAACAGGCTTCTAATTCCTCCTTTATCCTGCTCAACTCAAAAGCACCAGTATTCCTCCAGAAGGAAACTTTCCACAAGCCTCCTCTGGATATAGCCCAAAGCATACTTCTTTTATAACATCTACCAAGCCTTATTAAACCATCTTTTTCTTTTTTTTAAGTTTATCTCCCTTACTAGAAAGTAAGTAGTTTAAAAGCAAACACTGTATCTTAACTCCAGTGAGGAGGAGCATATCAGGCATGTAGTGGGCATATGATAAATGGTTACCTAACTGAAATCCCACACACTACACAATGAAGAATGAAATACAGCTGGACTTCTCAGCCCATTCACCAGGAAGTCCTCAGTTCCACTTCTAAAACCCAGGCCAAATCTGTTTACTTCGTGTGCTAGCACAGCCACCACGCCAGTCCAGTCTCTTATCACCTTGCATTTAGATTCCTCACAGTCTCCTCATTTTCCTGCTTCCATCTACCCTACTACACACATACCACTCTTCAGCAGCCAGAAAAATCTTTGTAAAAATGTGTAAGATCCTCTTTAAAATCCATCAGAATAAATTTACTTGCATCCTGTTATATTTAGACTAACATTCAAACTCTCACCACACCCTAGGATGCCCTCCATAAGCTTTGGGCAAGTCTTGTCCTCCATCTACACAGGGCTCCTTTTAAATACTCTAATACAAGAAGCTCACCTCAGTGTCTTCACCCTGGCTCTTCCCTCTGCCTAGAAGACTCTTCCCTCAGTTGGCTGCTGCTTCTCGAAGCTCTGCGCAAGCATCACAATCCAACCCAAAGGAGCTTTTTAATTCTTCATTCTATCATATCACCACATTTGGTTGTCTTCTTTGCACTCATTACCATATCAAATTATAATTAATTTGTTTACTTGTTTATTGTGTATTTCTATCCCTTAGGAAGGCAGGAGTTTTGTGTTTTGTTAGTCACTGTATCCCCCATATGTCTAGAAACAGTGCCTCTACACAGCAAACACTCAATAAGCATTTGTAAAACAAATGAACAAACCAAAAAAAGCAATCTTTAAGATATACATAAAACAAGTAAGGGAAAGAAATGGATGGTCTACCAAACAAGGCAAGAAACATTCTGCTGTTAGTATTTGTAACCAGACAGGGTGTACTGGTGTTATTGGGATCTGTTATCTACAAGCATCAAAAGTGTACTTCCCAAAGTTCAAAGTCAAATAGAATGGTTTCACATGCTATATGCTAGCCCACGTTATGACACTGCAAACAATCATTTTAGAGAATTCTAACATTTCTTAACACTCCCCCCAAAACCTGTAATGTACACAAGTAGTAAAACATATTTTAAAACATGTGCCACTTTATTAAAAAGCAATACTTATGACAGTGGTACTTATCTGTAAATGATTAAATTTATCCTCAGAAAACTTCAGACTTTTAAAGTAACAGGTCCTCCTAACCTAAGAGGCAGGTCTTTAAGACAGGTTCTGACTAATGCCTACCACATACAAGAAGCCACCTACCACACTATTCTTTCTTGGAAGTAATGCTGCAACGCAAAGAAAAACGATATAAAATTCTAACACACTATTCTTTCTTGGAAGTAATGCTGCAACGCAAAGAAAAACGATATAAAATTCTAACACACTATTCTTTCTTGGAAGTAATGCTGCAACGCAAAGAAAAACGATATAAAATTCTAACACACTATTCTTTCTTGGAAGTAATGCTGTAACGCAAAGAAAAACCATATAAAATTCATTAAAAAGTGAGCAGCCTCTTTTCACCTCTGACTGATGAACGTTTTGACCAACGGAGGAGAAAACTATAGGCTGCTACTATGTTAGTGATAGAAAAAGCTTCAATTCTTTATTCAAGTATCATTCAATCACAGAAATAAGGAAAACATACAAATTTAGGCAATGAAGATAATAAATCTAAGTATCTTATTTAGCTTGATTAAACCTTCTCACTATTCAAGAAAATAATTTATAAAACAAGTCAGCTAGTAAAAACAATTTATACAAGGTTAAAAACAGTCGTATTTTAATCATCACTTTTTTACAGGCAACTTGAAAGGAACACAAATTCAGTAACTTTCCTTCAGATTCCTTGACACAATTTGATCAAACTTGGGATCTAACGAAACTTACCTTGGTATGGTAACACATTTAGTATTACAGTTTTGCGTGGTGATGGCTTTCTCAAGCTCATCTAATCGTCCTGTTTTCTTAAGCTTCTTCACCAGACTTTTCACTGCTTTCTCACACCACTTTTCTTCCTGCCCATTCTGCTCTCCTCCACCTGCTCCTCCAGACCCACCAGCTGACTTCTTCCATCCCAGCAGTCTCTTCACAACTGGCGGAGTGAATGGCAAGATGGACGACATGTTCTTACCAAAGGCAGCAAGCCACGCTAGGAAAACAGCCTCTTGTATCGAACCTAGCAAAGATATTGAAAGGATAATGTAGAGACTAACTTGAACATCAAACATCAAGTAATAATTTCAACTTATCATAGAAAGCAAACTGCAAAACGAGACAGAAATTCAAATTATGACTTTCCCAACAGACTTCTCCACCCATGAAAATGTTATCTTTATGAATTTAAATGAATTATGGAAACAAACTCTTCTAAAAACAAGAATGTTATAAGGACGCCTCTTGTGGGAAAATACAGTAATTTTGCAAGTAAAATCAGATACTTTTAACGATTTTTCACTACCAATACTGTTTTAAACTCTTAATAGTGTCAATTAAAATATTTTCACAAAAAAAGGTTTTCTCACTTTTTAGAACTTCAATCTACTCTCAAAAGACTATACAAAAATACATTGAAAATCTGTAAGCCCACTCTCCCCCAGGTTTTAAACTTTCATAACTATCAGGAGGCAAAATCTACAGTTACAAGAAGGGAAAATGCATCAAGTGTGAAGTAATCAAGAATAAAGAAAAAACCATGGCAAACAGAGTCTGTGGAGAAAAGCTGTTGTCTGGTTTCACCTGCCCTTGAGAGAAATTTTTTAACACATATTTTTTTCATTTTCATCTAAATAACAATTTGCATAGTGAGTAAAGTCAGATCATTTCTCTTCCTAATTTAAGGAATTGTATCTTGTCTTTTCTCTTCCATAGGAATTATTTTTATTAAGCTGTTTTGTCTATTCAGCATCATTTTACAAATATAAACATGTGTACACACAGTTATCCACATTCCCACCACCTTATTCCTGTACAAAAGTAGCATAATAATCCTTGATTTTGTATATCTTGAATTTTTTTTTTTTTTTGCTTAATTCTCTGTAGGTCATTCCTTATCAGTTCACAGAGAATTTAGAAAGCACCATCCCCTCAATTTTCTAGACTCCACTACTAATACTGATAAGTACTACGTAACTTTTATTCCTGATCCTTTAATTGGGGCTTAAAAACTTTTTCGCTCCAGAAGCTCTTAATATCTCCTCTGTGATTCTGAAACTTCATAATGTTCTAAGAGGGTATGCAGTGTTTATTCTTTTTCTGATCAACTGTTCTGAGCACTTAATTGATACTACAATTCTAAGAGTTTTATTTTTTATTATTTCTTTAATTATTTTCTTCCCTATTTTCCCTGTAGTCTCTCATGGAAGTTAAGACTTCAGCCTTACTAGTATTGCTCTATCAGTTAAGACATTTCTACATGTGATTCACATTCCAAGATCTGGGTAACCTCTCCTTTTACTGCTGTTTCCTTTCTCATGCCTTAGCTCTTACGCTTTTCTTTTCTTTCCTTTGCCTTCAATTTTAGTGAGATGTAGGATAAAGGAAAACACGTGTTCAATTTGTCATATTTAATAAAGGTCCCAAAAGCATCCTTTTTAGAAAGTAAAGAGGTCTCTAGTCTTCACATCACACACCCCAAATACTGAAATGGTAGTTTTCAAAGTGCATCTTTATGAAAACAATGATGCTTACATTTTCATTAGTTTGTTCCTTAATAATCATAATGATCAGACAATAGTTTTTAAACTCACTTTGCACATATTTTTAACGTTAAAGAAAATCCTAACACAAGATGCAAATTTATTTCCCATCAAAGAACTGGCTAATTTTCATAGATTATATGCTAAGATTCATTTCCAATGTACACAAACTGCATTCCTGCTCTAAACTCTCCATAATTCCATTATTTTGGTTTGTACCACATGGAAGAATAATTTTTTTTTAAATATTCCCTCTTCTCAGGATAGTCAATGACTAGTGAAGAAGACTGACATGATCAAAATACACATGACAAATAAGAGAAATTGCAATGGGAATTACAGGTACACAAAGAAACACCACCTAACTTTGCATTAGGTGTCAGGAAAGGTTTTCCTGAGGAAACATTTGCACTTCCTTGGCAGCTTGCCATTTATTCATTCCTTCTTGCATTCAACAATTTTCTTTTACTCTTCTTTTTTTTTTTTTGGCCCATCTATTGTGCCTGTATTTACCTGTTTATTCTCAAATCCTATCTATGTTACTCATCTGCAGACTACACTTCTGAGCTGGGATGGATAGAAGAAGAGAAACCCTTTGTAGCAAGGTATTGGCAGCGGGGAATGGAGAAGCGGTAAATTTCTAAGGGCACAGAGATCAACCAGCAGAGAATTGCAATACACAAAAGGAAAGAATAGATAATTAGGGAGACAGAAGGAACAGAGTTGATAAAGAAAAAGTTACAAATTACAGGTTCTTGCTTGAAAAACCAGTTGAATGAAAATACAATTGGCCAAAATATGAAGTATTTGGGGAACATAAGTGTTGTGTTAGTCAAGCTACATTTGCTGTGACTATGAAACTCCAGGAGGTGCCCAATAAGCAGGTAGAAACAAAGGTCTGAGGCTTAGCACAGAGATCAAATTGGTCACGTGGTAATGAAATGCTGGTATATGGGAGAGCTCAGAAACCGCCAAGTTAAGTGAAAAAAATTTCTAAAAAATACATATAAAGGAGTTACCAAACGGAGGAAAAATGTGGATGATTAGGGAGAAAGGTGTCATGAATGCAAAGGACAATTTATAGCAATACAACATGATAACCCAACTTTTAAGTGCCAACGCTAGGATATGAATCAAGCAGCATGATGCCAGAGAACAAGTACTTAATTGTGTCAATATACTGTGTTGCACATAACAATCTGGAGCTAATCTGGAGACCTATATAGAGCCATTAAAGGCTGAGCTCTTTATACAATCAACGGAGCTATCTGTGCCTGACAAATTAGTCCATTAGACAGCATTAGAATAACACATTTAGCTCCAACTCCTTTCTCAATCTACAAATCATTTAACTAGTCTTTCAGTCTCCATCTTCTTTCTTTGATGCAAACAGCTTTCTAAAATGCATACTGCATGTCACCCTACTACTAAAAATCCTTCAATATTTGCAAAAAATAATAGTAAAATGACTTAATATGCTTTAAGAACACACAGTGTAATGCTTCAAAGAACAGATTCTGAAGCCAGTTGGCCAAGTTCAAATCCCAAGGATGACACTTACTAGCTGCATGGCAACCTCTATACACCTCAGTTTTCTCAGCTGTAAAACAGGGATAACAGTACCTATCTTAAAGCCAATATAACAACCTCTATAAAAATGTAATATGAGCCACATATGTACTTTAAGTTTTCTAGTGACATTTTTAAAAGTAAAAGGAAACAGGTGGCATTTTAATGATGTATTTAACCCAACATATCCAAAATGCCATCGTTTCAACATGCAATCAATATAAAAAAAAATTTCATACTAAGTTTATAAAATCTGTTGAGTACTTTACACTTACAGGACAACTCAACTAGGACTAGCCACATTTCAACTACTCAATAGTGACACAAAGCTATTGCCTACCCATATTGAATGGTCCAGCCCTAACTACTCAAAATTTCTGCCTACTCTCCCTATCCCATATTCTCTATAAACTGTTCATAAACACCTCTATTTAACAACTGTAGGATCCGTAGTAATGTGACATTTTTCATTCCTAATATTTAAATTTATGTTCTCTCTCCCCCTCCCCATCCTCTTTTGATCAGTTTTGCTAAGTGGTCAATTACATTAATCTTTTCAAAGAACCAACTTTTTCTTAGCTTTGTCAATTTTCTCTATGTAGGAATTACTTTCTATTCACTAATTTCTGCTCTTGTCTTCATTATTTCCTTACTTCTACTGTCTTTAGGTTTGATTTCCTATTCCTTTTCTACCTCCTTAAAAAAGCTTTCTTTTCCAATGCATAGATTTAAGGCTATAAATTTCATCTTAGCATTTCAGCAGCAGCATTCCAGATCATTGTAGTTCATCTTCATTTTCAATCAGTTTAAAATATTTTCTAATAGCCATCATAATTTCTTCTTTGAGCCATATGTTCTTCATAAGCATAGTATTTTATTTCCAGGCAGCTGGGAATTTTCTAGTTATTTTTTGTTATTTTTATTTACTATAATACAAACAACATATTCAATTATTAAAATCAATGATATTTGTTGAGGCTTTGTTTATGGCCCCAGATTATGGTCAATTCTAATACAATTTCCATGTGCAAGGGAAAAGATGGTTAATACCAACATTAATAGTTTCAATGTTCTACATATGACAATTAGATCAAGCCTGCTAATTGTGATGTATGTACGTCCTATATACCTGCATCCACTGTGATGGCATATTTGTCTGTTTCTTTCAGTTCAAAATAAAATTTTTGGTTTATAGATGTCCGGGCTGTTTTACTGGGTACAGATTAAGGATTGTGATAACTCTGGTGGATCAATCCGCTTACACTATAAAATGTAGTTCTCTTTTTCTACTAGTGTTTATTGTATTAAAGTCTCCTTTGCCTGATTAGTACAGCCACACTTATTTCCTTCAGTTAGCATTTGGATGGTATATCCTTTCCCAACATTTTCTCTCAATCTTTCTAGGTACTTATATTTAGGTAATTATTATTTGTCCAGTCTGATAATTTTTGCCATTTACTTGGAATATTTAGCTCATTTCCATGTAATGTAATTGCTAATTTAGTTGTCTGCTTGTTTTATATTTTCTTTCTTGTCTTTTGAATTTATCACATATTCTATATCCAATTTTTGTCTGTATTCATTTGTTACATTCTTTTCTTTTAGTGGTTACCCTAGATACTTCCTTATTCATCCTTCACTTAACACAATTTCATAAATATACTTTTACTACTTCCTCTATAATGCCAGAATCATAGAACGCTGCTGAGAAGCAGTTTTGCTATGAACGAGACTACCTCTGGTTTGTCCCTGTTCCTAGGATGAGACTCTGCTGAGCTTTTATTTCAAAAGCTAGTAGATGCTTATCTTTGAGGTACCTAGATACTATTAGAATTGCTTTGTTTTAAAGAGATTTCTGGTTTAGCTCTCTAGCCTAAGCAGCTTCAGAATTTAGCAAATGTCTACGGGGAAG